CCTTGCCAACAACAACAACAACAACTCCTCCACATCTTCGTTATCCTTGATAGCAATGCCAAAGAAACTAAATACCACTATATTTCAATGTGAATTTTGTTCCTTTTCCTGTTCTTGGAAATATGATTTAAAACTGCACATGCGCCAGAAACACGGCATACACAATAAGAAAATGTAAACCATGTTGCTGCAACATTTAAATCAACAATTAAATTGTTATTATAAGTTTCTTTATAATTTTCTTAATTTGAAAAAAAAGACTTTTAAAACAGGTGCTAAAAATTTAAAAAAAAAAAACACAAAAATTGTAAAGAATTTTAAATTATTAAGTTATAAGTTTAAAGAAGAAGAAAAAAACATAACGCTCCATTTTCCTACGCTCGCTTGTGTTAAAATATTAATAATTTTTAAGAAAAATCGGTCCTCTCTCTCTCTAAACTACTCTTTTTAGTTTTGTCTCTTTGTTTGTTTTGTAAATTTTGAAAAAAAAAACAATAAACAACAACCTCCTAAGAGTTTTAAAAATTTCAAACAAAAAAACTCCTTTTTATAATTTTACAGCATTCTATGATGACTATTATCTATTACAACCATTAACCAGCATAACTTCGCCACCGGTTGTCACTGCAAAACGTTCTGCAAAAGTGCGTAATATTGGCGGCGGCACCGAAACCTATTATCAACATCGACGCTTTCGTACCAAACGCAATCAGTCAACATCGACGACAGCTTTTAAATGTCCCAAATGTCCCAAAGCCTATACAATGCGTTGTAATCTTTCACGTCATTTGCGTGTAGAATGCCAAAAAGAACCCAAATTTATGTGTCCCATATGTAATGCCAAATATTATTATCGTTGTTCGTTGGCTCATCATTTGAAAATGACCCATAAACAGAATATAAATAATAATTAAGGAATTTGCTTACTTTCTTATGTTGCGCAACATGTTGCTTGTTATTTTTAACAAAATTTCTTTCTTTGTTTTCTTTAAACAAACTTGATTTTTCTTAAAATTTTCTTTTAAATTTTAGAAAAATAACGTTTTTAATAGAATTTTAAGTAATAAATGGTTTTAAATTGTTTATCAACATGTTGCCAAACACCAAGTTTCTTTGTTTTTTAGATTTTTTAGATTTTTCTTAAATATTTCGTTTAATTATTAATAAAATTGACTTTTTAAGTTGAATTTTAAGTAATTTATGGCCTTAAATGTTTCCTCAACATGTTGCTAACACTAAGTTTCTTTGTTTATAAAGTAAAGTTGAAAAATCTAACCTAATCAAGGAAAACTTCCATATTTAAGTTTTAAGCAAAAATCCCAAACATTTAATACATTAAAAAGTATGTTGCCAGCAACTTGTTTATGTTTATTTTAAAAGAATAGATTTGTTTAAAAACATTTCCAAAGCTTTACACTCATACCCTTTAAAAATCAGTTTAGACACAAGTTTTTAACAACTAAAAGATCAATTGAACTGTTTTTTAACTCAAACTTGAATGTTGCCCAGTAAAATCTTTAAAATATGTTGCTAGCAACATGTTTTTCTTTAAACAAACTTTCTTTTAAAAATATTTTTTATGTTTAAAGTAATTTTGCACAAGTTTTTATAACCTTTAAGATTATGTTAAATGCCTGCAACATAAATTTTCAAGTGGCTTATCAAAATGCTACAAATATGTTGCCAGCAACATGTTTATTTATAGTTTCTAAACATTGCTATGTTTAAGAGTAGTTTTGAAACAAATTTTTACAAGTTTTTGAGGAAGATTTTGTCACAAAGTTAAAGTTCAAAAAGTTCTAAATACATATTTTAAAGGAACACTTTAACAATGAAAAATATGTTGCTAGCAACATGTTTATTTGAAAATATTTTATTTTAAACTTTTCTATTGTTAAAAATTAGTTTGATAAAAGAATTTTAACAAAATTAAAAAAAAAAATTAAATGTTTTCCAAACTTCTACAAAATGTTGCCAGCAACATGTTTTTTTCAAAATTTTGTATGTTTATAAATCTGTCTACTTCTAAATAGAATACTGACACAATTTTTTACCAGCTAAAAGATCAAATTAAACATTTTCTACATATGTTTTATTATGGTCCCATAAAACTTAAAAAATATGTTGCCAGCAACATGTTTATTGAAAAAGTTTTGTTGTAAAACATTTCTATTTGTAAAAATTAGTTTGACACAAAAATTTTTAAAGCTTAGAAACTAAACTAATAGTTTTTAACTTATTTTTTTAACAGAGGCCAAATAAATTTTCCCCAATATGTTGCTAGCAACATGTTTATTTCAGAATTGATATTCCTAAAATTTTACTTCCAAAAAGGATTTGGACAAAAGTTTTTACAAGCTTACGAATAAAATTAAACGTTTTCAATACATTTTCCAATCAGTTCCAGTAAGATATACAAAATATGTTGCCAGCAACATGTTTATGTTTATTTTTACAACTTTTATAATGTTTTTGTTAACATTGCTGGACTTTATCTTTGATTTTGTTTTTAATAATGAGTTTCTTTTAATTTTTAACAAATTTAAAACTAAAATTGAGTTTGTTTTCATTTTCATGAACTTGAAACATGTTGCTAAATATTTTAACTTAATATTTCTCTACAACATGTTGCTTATGATGAACAACAAGTAAAAGTTAAAACAAAATTTCTTAAAACAGCTTTAAATAAGCCAAATTATAAGAAATAAACCAAAATTTTCCCTTTTAATTAAACTTTCAACATGTTGCTAAACATTTAACTTTAATTTTTCTTTACAACATGTTGCTTATGATAAACAATTAAAGTTTTTTAAACAAAATTTCTTAAAACACAATTAAATAAAGCAAATATTTGTTAAAAAGGAGAATAGACAACTTTTTAAATTGATTTTTCTTTGCAACATGTTGCTTGTGTTTTGTAAATGTTGCTTAATGCAAATAACTAATGTTTTTTAAACAAAGTTTCTTAAATTAGTTAGTAAATAAAGTAAATATTTCTTATAAAACTTAAAGCTATAAGACAAAGAAGTGTCCAATAAAGTACTTCTTTTAAGATCGTTTGTGATACCGTTATTTTTGCCCTATTGCGGATCAGAGTGAAACCGAACCGAGTCCTCTCAATAAGATACTATAGACGAATAATGTTTGTTATAGTTTTTGTTAACAATTTTATAAACAATTTCTTTATTTTATTAAAATCCAGAATCATTATTGAAAGTTTTTGATCGTGCTATAAATAAATTAACATCAGATCGGGCTAAATTGATCGTATTTTACTTTTTTTTGTTATCGAACTAGAAATCTAGTACATTTTAGCTTAATTTTAATAACGAAATGCGGTTTCGAAATGAAAGTTTAAGTGATCGTGAATTCGACACCAGATCAGAGTTTGATTTAGTATATACATGATCGCTTTAGCTTTCTTAACTAGAACATATGATCATGAAATTAAGCTGAAATTATCGATAACGTATGATTTCATATTAAAAAGTTAAATAACGAATAGTTGTACACGATCATGAACAAGTAAGATTCTTATGATGATCTTTAGTGATCCGAATGAATTAAGACATAAATGATCGTTTATGCTTTCTAATCTAGAACATATTGTGATCATGAAATTAAGCTGAAATTACCTCTTTTTTTACACCATCATGATCAAGTAAGATCCTTATGGTGATCTTGAGTGATCCTTAGTGATCTTTCCGAGTTAAAGCATACATGATCGTTTAAGCTTTCTTATCTAGAACTTATTCGGATATGGCATAACTTCTTTTTTTTACACGATCATGATCAAATAAGATCCTTATGGTGATCTTTAGTGAAGCATCATACATGATCGTTTAAGCTTTCTTATCTAGAACATATTATGATCATGAAATTAAGCTAAAATGAACGATAACGAATGAATTCTTTTTATACACGATCGTGATCAAGTAAGATGCTTATGGTGATCTTTAGTGATCTGGTCGAATTAAAGCATACATGATCGTTTAAGCTTTCTTATCTAGAACATATTATGATCATGAAATTAAGCTAAAATTACCTCTTTTTTTACACGATCATGATCAAGTAAGATTCTTATGGAGATCTTGAGTGATCCTTTCGAATTAAAGCATACATGATCGTTTAAGCTTTCTTATCTAGAACATATTATGATCATGAAATTAAGCTAAAATGAACGATAAGGAATAACTTCTTTCTTTACACGATCATGAACACGTAAGATCATAATAGAGATCTTTAGTGATCCGGTCGAATTAAAGCATACATGATCGTTTAAGCTTTTTGATTTCAATTAAAACATTAATTTAGTTTTTTTAAAATTAGAGGAATAATATTTGGCATTGACATATTTTTTCTTCAAATTTGGGTTTTAAATTGCAATTAATCATTCCTAATATGTGTGCCAAATACTCTTGTGAATTTGGAGCGTTATTTTTTTTTTGTTCTTTAAAACATTTTTAAGGCATTTTTTATCACGGTAGATTTAGAAAGTTTTTTTTTAAGAAATTTTCTTTAATTTTTTTTTATAATTTTTAAATTTTAACCCTTAAACTGTAAAATATTTGTTTATATATGTAGAAGTTATTAACTATAAAACTTTATTTGTGTAATATATAAAAAGAATACTGTAATATAATAATAAATATTTTAAATATTTAATGTTAAATAAAAATAATATAAATTTCTTAAAAATATTATAATATAAAATAAAATTTTCCCCCAAAAGTTTAAAATTAAATTAACAAAAAAACATATGTTGTTATTTTTTCTAGCAATTAAAAAGCAGTTTTTTTATATAAAATTTTTTATTTAAATTATTTTATTATTAGAGTTGCTGTTTAATTAAATAAATTATTTTTAGTTAATTATAAACGTTATTATTATAAAAAATTTATTTAGTTTAATATTAACTAGAAATTGTATGATCGATATTTTGCAAATTTTTTTTGCTCTTTTTTTTCTCTTTCCCCCAACTTTTTTTTTGTGTTACGTAACATGGACATTTTTTGTGTTTTATTATAAAACCATATAGGAGCTGTATATTTTATCAAAAGTGAACATGACTTAATGTTAACAGCACCACCACCACCACCAACAACATCATCCTCATCTACAACATTATTACTAACAACATTACCCACCGGATTACAGCAAACATTGGCAGCTAACTCCACACTGCCGCCGCCTAGCACATCATTAACATCATCATCATCATCATTAACAGCAACAACATTTCTTACACCCCCAACTACTAGTAGTAATACTAGAAAATCTCGTCGTTTAAATAAATCTATACAATTAGATTATACCACCATACCTCTACTAACTGTTAGGCGTGGTACAACAAAAACAAATTCAAAATATGTTTGTGATAAATGTCCCCATAAATCATATCAAACTTATAATAGTTTATTACGTCATCAACGTGTTGAATGTCATAAAGATCCTCAACATATTTGCTCTTTATGTTCGATACGTTTTTATTATTTAACTACCTTAAGAAAACATGCCAAACGTATGCATAATATAGATGTTGATTAAAGTTGAGGAAAACTTAAGGAATTTTAAAGAAATTTCTTTAAAATAATAATAATTTTATTTGAAAAATGTATATTAAAAACTTATATATAAAAAATCTTAAAACTAAATTAAATGTTGTGTTGTTTCTTTGTAATAATAATTGTATTAAACAAATATCTTTATATATAGTAAAAATAACGGTAGTTTTTAGTTAAATTTAGTTAAAAACTTTTAAAAGTAAAATTTGAGCAAATTATTTAATAGTTTTAGTTAAATTTAGTTAAATTTCTTTAATTTAGTAAAATTTTTATTAGTTTGTAATGTTTTGTTAAACAAATATTGACAATTTTCTTTATCAAGTTAAACTTTTAAGGCTTAATTTTGTTGCCCCAACTTGTTGTTATAAATTGTTTAACATTTTAAGTTTTAACTTGTAAAACATTAACATTTTAAAGTGATGCTTACTTAAGATTTATTTCATTAATTACCCTTTAAGTTTAACAATTTGTTATATAACTCAACTTTTAAGGTCAGATTTTGTGGCCGCAACATGTTGCTGTTCAAAATTGTTCATTTTAAGTTTTAAAAGTAACATTTTTAAATGATTTTCATGCTTACGTAAGGTTTATTTCATTAATTACCCTTTAAGTTTAACAATTTGTTATATAACTCAACTTTTATGGGCACATTATGTTGCCGCAACATGTTGCTGTTATCTCTTTTTCAATTTAACATTTAAATTTTAAAACAAACTTCCCATTTTTTTGGTTATTGAACTTATTTAATTAAAATGTTTGTTTAAATTAACTTTTTTCTGCATTTTTAGCCATTTGTTGCTAAGAAAAATCCCCAGCAACATGTTGCTTGTTTTCTAATTTGCAGTAATGTGTTATAATCTTCATTTAAAAGTAATTGTTTTACGATTTAAACTCTTTAACCTCTTCACTAAATTACTTTCTCAACATTTTAGACTTCTTGTTCCAGTTCCAGAAACATGTTGCTGTTTTAATATATAGGTTAGACCATAGTCGAGACTACAGACTAGACTATAGATTAGACTATAAACTTGACTATAGACTAGACTATAAACTACACTACAGACAAGACTATAAATCAGACTATAGACAAAATTGGAGACTAGACTATATGCAGGATTATCAACCGGACTATAGACTGGACTATATACTGGACTATAAACTGGACTATAGACTGGAATATAGATGTACTATAAACTGGACCATAGCCTTGACTATAGACTAGACTATGGACTGGACTATAGACTAGACTATAGACTGGACTATAGACTAGACTAGAGACTGGACTATTAACTAGACTATAGAATATATTAAAGACTAAACTATAGAATATAATATAGACCAAACTGTTGAATAAGAATATGGACTAGACTTAGCCTAGACTATAGATTGAACCATAGACTAATCTATACACTAGACTAGATTACAGACTTTAGACTAAACTATAGACTAGACTTTAACTAAACTAAAGACTAAAGTGTAGACTGGACTATTAACTAGACTATAGACCAGTCTGTTGACTAGACTATAGTTAAGAATATGGACTAGACTTTGCATAGACAATAGATTGAACCATAGACTAATCTATACACTAATCTATACACTAATCTATACACTAGGCTAGATTATAGAGTTGACTGTAGACTAAACTATAGACTAAACTTTGACTAAACTAAAGACTAAACTTTAACTAAACTAAAGTCTAAACTATAGACCACCTATAGACTAGATTATAGACTAGATTATAGACTGGACTATAGACTAGACCATAGACTGGACTATAGACTAGACTATAGACTAGACGATAGACTAGACTATAGAGTAGACTGTGGACTAGACTATAGACTAGATTATAGACTAGACTAGACTAGACTATAGACTAGCCTATAGACTAGACTATGGACTATACTATAGACTATACTATAGACTAGACTATAGACTAGACTATAGACTATACTATAGACTAGACTATAGACTAGACTATAGAGTATACTATAGACTAGACTATAGATTAGACTATAGACTAGACTATAGACTAGACTATAGACTAGACTATAGACTACACTATAGACTACACTATAGACTACACTATAGACTACACTATAGACTAGACTATAGACTAGACAAGACTATAGACTAAACTAGACTAGACAAGACTATAGACTAGACTAATGACTATACTATATACTAGACTGTGGACTGGAATATAGACTAGACTATAGACTAGACTATAGACAAGACTATAGACTACATTATAGACAAGACTACAGGCTTGACTATATACTAAACTATAGACTAGACTAGAGACTATACTATAAACTAGACCACTATAGACAAGACTACAGGCTTGACTATATACTAAACTATAGACTAGACTAGAGACTATACTATAAACTAGACCATAGACTAAACTATACTATAAACTACACCATAGACTAAACTATAGATTAGACTTTGGACTGAACTATAGACTACATAACAGACCAGACTGGACTACATAATAGATTATACTATAATCCATACTAGAGATACGACTCTAGTCCAAACTATATGCTAAACTATGGTCCAAACTCTAGTATAAAGAACTTTTTTATTAAAAATTTAATTTATACTTTTTTAAATTGTTTACTTGGTAAAGAAAATTGTCTTAATTTTTCGAAAGTAGTTGTTTTTTATTTAGTAAAAAGAAGTATTTTATTAGAATTGTTAAAACGTAGTTTTATTTTTGATTTTTTTTTTTTTATATAAATTTAACAAAACCAAAAACTCTTTATAAAATTAAAATTATATATAACTTTTTTAGCAATTAAGTTTATTTTCAATAATTAAGTTTATTTTTATAAAAAAAAAGATTTTGTAAAAAACAAACTATAAAACATACAAATAATTTTGAGTATTATGATTTATTTTTCTTTTCGTTTTTTTCTTTTTGTTTCTTTTCATTTACAAAATAACCCTCCCCCCCCAAAAAAAAAACACAAAAATCATCAAACTTCATCTCTACCCATATAACAAACTAAAACCATGATGTGTGTGGCCATAATCATTAAATCATCAAAAAACTCACTTTGTAAATAACTTTATATTGATTCATCATACTTTTTTTTTCACTACTTAATACTAATTTTTTATATTTTTTTGAACAAAAACAAAAGATATTTCCTATAAATTTTCACAATCCATGATAGAAGGTGGTAATTATCTAAAACTTAATGAACAATATAAATTTAATAATTCTATAATGGAGGGTGGTGGTGGTGGAGTTGCTGCCCATGGTTCTACAGAACGTTTTCCCTGTGCTGTTTGCGGTAAATCCTATTTACGTAAACGTCATTTACAACGTCACATGAGAGATGAATGTATAGGCATACCGCCTCGCTTTAGCTGTGATCTTTGTCCCTCACGTTTTCGCCGTAAATATCATATGGTGCGTCATTTAACCTCGAAACATGGTATACCACCAGCTATAGCTCAACAGACTACCGGCAATTCAAATCGCAACAATTCTACGGCTCTTAAGGAAGAGGGTGAAGGAGCGGTTGGAGGTCTTCTGGCGGAAAATTTAACTTTAAATCATGTTAATTTAGGTAACTGTGATAATGGTTTACCCGAGAATCTTACCATGCGTAAAGAGAATTATGAACATGAACCAACACAAATGCATCATCAGCATCAGCATCATCATATACATCATCAGTTGAATATGGGTTCGGCTAGTCCCTCGCACATGACTAGTGGAGATAGTGGCAGTGATTGTAATGGTGGCGGAACAGCGGGTACCTCACCCATACCACCCACACATATAATGCCCATGCCCACGTATGGTTTGACAGGAGCCATAACAGCCATTTCGGCAGCAGCAGCTCATGTAGAGGAAAAAGATGCTAAAATACTTTTAGAAGCAGCCGCCGCAGCTGCCCAGGCTGCAGCACATAATAATAATATACAGCAAACTCTTGGCGGCAGCAGCACCACCATAACACCACCACCAACCCATGAGGATACCGAAAATGTGGCAGAAAATCAAACCTCTCTAACAACAACAACAGGAAATACAGGAGTAGCACTTAACAGCAATGCCAATACTACAAATGAAGCCTCTTATATCAAAGCAGAACCTTTAACGCCCAATAAGACTATGGCCCCTGGTCAAGGGGCCCTCAATATGTTAGACGATGAGTGGAAAATGAAGCTAAGCTTACAACTCATATCGAATTCATTGCTCAAAGAACGTTTAATGAATACCATGCCATTTGCTTATAAAAATAATTAAAAAAACAACCAAATATTTTTTATTTTTCTTTTTTATAAAATTTTTAAAACATATTTTTTTACACTTTAAGTTTAATTTTATTTATTTGACTTAATTTTGCAAACAATTATTTATAATTATTAATTTAAACAAACCAAATATTTAACATAAAAAAAATTTGTTTATAATTTTAACAAATTAGGATCTCTTTTTTTTTAATTTAAAACAAAAACAGAAGCAAAACAAACATTCCGTTTTATTTACCTTCCCCCCCCCCCCCCAAAAAAAAAAAAAAAAAAACAAAAATTTATAACCAAAAAGTATTTTTAAATTAACTTTTCTAATATAATATTAAGTTTAAACATTTTTATATTTATTTAACATTTTATAAACATTCCAAATACTCAACATATTATTTTATAAACTTTTATTTTTTCCTAATTAATTTAAAATAATTATTTCTTTTAAATATCAAGAAATAAATTATTTTTATAAACCAAAAAAGCACAACAAAAGAAACAACAACCAAATAACAAATTGTATACCAGAGTTTTTATTAAACCAAAAACCTTAATTATACTTTTAAAACTTAATTATTTATAACAAAAAAAAAAAACTTTTTCTCTACCAAAAATGTTTTTCTTAAACATAAATTTGTTATTTATTCTAGACAAACAACAAAAACAAAATTTTAAATTTTATAACAACGAATTTCTCAAATTTAATTATTTAAATTAAAAAAAAACTAAATTATTTATACAAAAAAATCATAAATTATTTTAAACAATTATGTGTGTAAGCGTCTGATTATTGTATGTTTTTTTTTGTATTGTATTTAAATAAAAAAACATTTAATTATTTATTTTATTTCACAAATACTTAATTTCTCTATTTTTTATTTATTTAAAAAAAAAGTCAAGTCTCTTGCCATGTATTATTAATTTTAAGTAAAAATTAACCTAAATATTTAAATTTTTTTTAAAGAAAACAACAGAATGTTTTGTGTTAAATTAAAAAAAAAACGAAAATGTAAAATGTAAAATAACGGAAATATAGACTAAACTATGGACTAGACTATCAACTAGACTATGGGCTAGGC